GAGCATGCGTGCATAAAGAAGCACAGGACACAGTACGAGGAGTGCATTAACAATGTATTACGACATTCCATTGTCATGTGGCTACACCTATGCTGGACAGACCAGTCGATGTTTGAACGATCACCTGAATGAGCACCCGTTCAATCTCAAAACTTCAACAAGCAGCACCTTAGCAGCCCATTGTTCCTCGTACAGCTGCACCCAGCTCTTCTATAATTGAAAGATGCTTTCACGATATCGTCACAAGATCGAGTGCGAAATCAACGAAACCTTCCATATTAGGAAGAAAGGACACGTGTGTCAGTGAGCCTCCACTTGCCCTCCTCGAAAAAGAGAACATGTTTCTGAGCTGTTAACTTTGGACATTTTGACTCGTGAGAGATTCATCTTGCTTTTCATCTTTATGAGCAAGTGTTGTAGTCCTATTTGTTTTTGCAGCTCTACATTTTCCCGTGTAATAAACGCACACACAGTTGTTCCTCAGTTTCATTGTTCCTCAGTGTTTTGCGGTCATTCTTTCTTCGCCCCAATTTAGTGCCATTTTTCCCTCAGTACTAGTAAAGCCAATTTTCCCAAGGTGCACCTCGCGACATCGACACTAGCTTGACGTAAGGCTACAGTACTAATTCTGGCGACTTCATACAGGATACTCGCCTGGCCATGGAAATGTCACAATTTCTTGCTCCAGCATGTGAAGAGCTCATATCGCGACTTGAGAGTACAGTAGTAACCAAGACTAGTTTTTAATAACATGTTGTAATTACTTTTTCAGGGAGCACTTACACTTATTTTCTAGATCAGCAGGGCTTGGCTTAACATTTAACGCAACGGTGGTCGAGTGTCTAAGGTACTCGGCTGCTGGCCCGCAGGTCGCGGGATCAAATCCCGGCTGTGGCTGCTGCATTTCCGATGGAAGCGGAACTGTACGCCCGTGTGCTCAGATTTGGGGGCACGTTAATGAATCCCAGGTGGTCGAAATTTCCGGAGCCCTCCACTACGGCATCTCTCATAATCATATGGTGGTTTCGGGATGTTAAACCTCACATAACATTTAACGCATGAAAACAAAAAATTAAAACTTTCATGTAACAACCACTTAAAGGGGAACTCCGGCGTTTTTTCGATATTAACTGATTTCAATAAAACTTTAAACATGTGTTTTCATTGGTACCGTGATAATATGTGCCAAATTATGCACCCTAAGTCATTCAGTTTCTTGGAAAACAAATTTTAAAATTAGTAGCCGATTCTGCAATCACACTAGTAAACGCAGGCCACCCTGTGCATGTGACGTAAGGGCCTACTCTTTTTGGAAAACCCTGCATTTCCCAGCAGACAGATGCAATGTGCGCTTTCTTCTACGAGGTGACAACGCTAGCACAGTTCAGTTTTGTCAGCTGTATACAGCGTGTTCGTCATCGTTGATGTCGGTCTTACAATATTGAGCAACAAGAAAATCGATTCGGGGCATGTCAGATGCTTCACGCGCCGGCAGGTCGAAATCAAAAAGCGATGCTTCTGCACTGAGATAGTAGCTGCAATCATTGCTGAACTTGTCACTAGTAAGTTCAGACGCTCTGGCACAGCTTGCTTCTGCGTCGACATCGCCAACTTGCTTTTCGGGCATCAGAAGAGAAATGTGTTCTATGTGTGCACCCTGGCAAGCCGTGGCGGGGTGTAGCCGATCTCGTGACGTCATCAGCGATGAATTCTCAAGGCGTCATCTGATACCCACCATGGATGACAGAGCAGCTTCCCGTTTTGGTCTTTGTTTTGACTTGTCGCTTATTGCTTAATTAAAGTTACTGACGAATGCCTGGGCAAAATTAACCACCTTAGCCTTTGCAGGATTGTCAATACTATTTGAAAACAGCATTATCTCAGTATGGTCGAAAATGCACCGGAGTTCCCCTTTAGGAAAGCAAAGCATCTCTTCATAGCAAAGCGGTGTGTCAAAAACTGTTGAAGGGTAATCTATCCTAAATGCAATCAATTCTTCTTTCAGTGCCCTTAAGACAGATAAAGCAGTGGAATAGTAACAAATTTTCCGTGCTAGGGTAACCTAGCAACCTTGCGTACATTTCTTAATGGCCAACATTTAACACCAGAAAGCTGTGAAACCACAAAAACATCAATGGTGCCAGAAATAAATGGCTTCTCATACAAGTTTTCTTTTACTTTGAATTTACGGCCAATGATGAAGGGCACCTGCATACCTCTCAATCTTGCAAAACTCTCTACAATAATGACAGAAGAATCTATTATGCAGCAGTTGTTAGGAACCTCTACACTAAGCATGAAGCTATCAAGTGTGGCCTGTTTGTACAAGGGTGGTTCACAGGTGGGTAGAAGGGGTACATCTGAATGTTCTCTTGAAAACTTACTTTTGTCAAAAGATGGAAGATCAGCTACCTCTCCATCTCGCTCCTTCAAGCGATTGTATAGTTGGGCAAGTGGAGTTTTGTGGCTTTTCAGAAGCCGCTTGAGGAACTGCATATTGTTCTCGAATGGAAATGCACTGAAAGTGTCCAGGGGTCCGTGCTTGCGTACGTCATTTCCAAGATGTAATAAGCAGTGAATATTATAGGAAACCTGGTCACTTCCATACAACTTTGCAAAACCTTTTACAAAGTGCTGTAGAAGGGACTCTGCATAATCAAGATGCTGCTGGCACAGGCTGGCATTTGAAAGAATATAGGTTGCACAATGTAGTGCCATGAAGTTCCTGTAAAGAGAAGGAGCTAGAACAGTTCTGAGCACTAGAGGCCCGCTATACAGGAGGAGGAGCCTGAATTTTGTAGCTTTCCAGCAGTCAGCTTCAGATAAACTTCTTGGCTTGCGAGCAAATTCTTTCGGCACATACGGTGCTAACAACACATTAGGTGAGAGAATTGTCTGCGCTTTGCAGGCCCAAGGCGTATGTCTAAAGGACCACTTAGCCAAGCATTGAGCCGCTTTTTCGTAATCCCCAAACACAACAGGTGCATATAGTCCAGTGGTGCAGAGGTCACACAGTCTATGGACAGTGATGTTAATACTGATGTGCCCCAGTGATGGTCAGAGTCAATCTGACGCCTGAAAGAATCATCCGTACGCAAAGTGGATGACGTAGTAGGGAAGCTGAGTCGACCGTTTCTGTATGTACCCTCAGCTGTGCACTTAGGACACCCAGAATAACCTGTAGGCCCTTTAATCTGAAACACAAATGATCGTGCTGGGGCATCCAAAACAACACTTCAAAGAAACATCAATTAGGTGCCCATGAAAAATCATTCCTTGGGAAAGAAGCTGTTGCAGGTCACTGACAAGTTTGTTGAGAAACTCATTGGCTGAAGCAGGCTTTCCTGGGCCTGCGAAAATTCCAACTACAAAGGGTGGTATTCTTCGATCTTCATGGATTATGCGCTGTATGGGCCACAACTTCATGGTGGAGCTTTTGGAAATTGGCAGCCCGTCAATGTTAAAGGCAAGAGAAACATGACTGCCTTCATAACGTGCTTTTGACAAAGCATTCTCGAGGCTTTTCTGTAGCCCAAAGTGGCAGTACTGTCCCGGTACCATTTAACTGACAACAGGTGCACGCTGTGTATCTCTAAGCGTGCCGAGAAGAGTACGAGCGTCGCTAGGCAGAGATGAAGAATCGAAAGTACTGACCTTGAGAATTTTTAGAAGAGCGGACAAAGCTGTATGAGTAACATTTTCTTTGATGGCCCAACTGCGCAGTGACACAACAAAATCTTTGTGCTTTGACAATGCATCAGTGGAAGATGAACAAACAGGTACCTCCGGGACTCCGCTTACAGGAGAAGGCACATCGCTGAGTTGCATTGGCGAGCCTTCGGCTTCAGTGTGCGATGCTCCCCTGGACGAACAGGGTGAACATTTTGTGGGTGATGTGTCCGTTGAGTCACTTTCGGTGACGCAAGGCGAACTGCCCTCAGGGGGCGCCGAGCTGCAGCAATCCGCCTGAGTAGCTGCTAATGTAGCCGCAGTGTTTTCGTCAGCCCCAGGCACGCAAATGCTCGCACACTCACTGGCACAGCATGCGTTACCGCATGCGCGTAGTGTACCACACGCACTACTGCATTGTTCGAAGTTCCCGATTCCTTCAGACGTTGACGGCTGGCTACCGGCTTGAAATCCGAAATCCCGAAATATTGCCTTCGTTTGCAAAGACGCTTTCTTGCGCGTGTAAGACTTTTCCTTCGCTTTAGGCATGCTGGCAGCTGCGACGGAAACACATTGTAGTACTCATACAAAGTTCTGAAGTCTTTGACTGTATTCTTAATAAATAAATAAATGTAGCTGTCTTACCTCCGTAGCTGGGGAAGAAAATACAATCGTATCTGCACTGGCACTGCAAGCACGCCGCCATTATCCACAGGACTAACAGAACTACAGAACAAATCCAGTGGCTTGGCTTGACTGGGCTCGCCAAACGAAACTTTTTTTTCTCCGCTGTTTGGATAGATCACCGTCATAATAAACAACCTCATTAAAGTAGCTTTATAATGTTTAACAATTAAGCGGTGTATTACAACCGTTTTTGAGGATAATTATTATCAAATAACCTAAAATGAAAACGCACTTTTTGTGACTTCTTTCAGTTTTTGAGAGAGACATTTGCGACGCGGCAGCAGTGTCATCGCTAGCACCGTGTGTATCACCTTCCTCCGTGGTGCACCGCATGTAAATATTACATTTGTCGTGTTGTCGGAGCAGCGTGGTCGGTGCGGTGCATTTCAAGTCCAGCAGAACGAGGTAAGTGCTTTATCATGTATGGCCGTTATATAGGCTACATAGATGTTATTTTTTTTAACCCATATCGCTACCATTTCGCCCTGGTGCACGCTGCAACTAATTAATCCGCTTCAGAAAACACGTGTTGGCGTACGCCTGGGCCAGGACGATAGAGCGTTATGCAGCGATGCTACATCTTTCAAAATATATGTGCTGTTCAATACGGTGTCTTGATACGTGCGTGACTACTATCTTTTCAGATGTTCGCACTTGTTGAATTTTTGCCCTCACAATTGGTCGAAGTGGTACCGTCCACGTGGGTGAATGGCAAGAAATGTCAGGGGCCGAAAGGGCCTACTGACAAGGCACAAAGAATGGTTCGGCGCCTTCAGGAACCAGACGATACATTTGACCCCTATGATGCGAGACTGAAAGGCTTATTTCGTGAGTATTTTGGCCGACCTAGGCTTTTACGTGCTATTTCAAATATTACCAAGCGAATTGTGAACGCCTGTACTTTGTTGAGTCACCTGCATCATGTAACAGCACGTGGTTAGCTTGAGGCACGTGCTTTCACCTGAATGTACTTGATTGATATGTGGGGTTTAACGTCCCAAAACCACCATATGATTATGAGAGACGCCGTAGTGGAGGGCTCCGGAAATTTCGACCACCTGGGGTTCTTTAACGTGCGCCCAAATCTGAGCACACGGGCCTACAACATTTCCGCCTCCATCGGAAATGCAGCCGCCGCAGCCGGGATTTGAACCCGTGAATGTACTTCAGGCATCATTATATATCGGCAGTAAGTGATTAGATTTCACGCTTTAATACTAGCTATGAGCTGTTATTTTCTGTTCGCATTTCAATTCATGCAGGCTAACTGTATTTAATAATCGAGTGTATAATTAGGCTCATTAACTAACCCCACTACATGTTACACTTACAGGCGCATATGCAGAATGCCGTGCAAACTTGGCAAAGCTTGTAGATAAGTCAGATCTTTCTAGTTCCGACAATTTGGGTACTAAGAAAAGGAAGAGGACCAAGCCCCAGCGCTACATTTCAAGCTCAGATTCCGATTCTGACGGCCCTCCTGCACCTCCTTTGCAGCTTTCTGCACAGCACACACCATGTACGTAAAATTATTTTGCTTGTATAATATATAGGTAAGCTTCTTGTTTGCACTGGAACGCTGAATACTATCTAGTGTATACTATCTAGTATAGGCTGGGTGAAAAGCTGATTCCCGATATTGTGCACTGGTTATTGGTCGGGGTTTTTCATTTGTGGTGCAGAACAATACCTTCACTGTCTCGTAAATTAGGTGCAAATTAAAAATAAACAAGCAAAATAAAAAACGCACTCTGAAAGTGCCTCTCGGAGTGCGTATTAAAAATTTTCATGACATTTCTTAGTTTTTACTGCAAGCTTTCCTCTTTCATTTGAGCTTCCAAGGTGCACACAATTATGGAAAATTCAGAGCTGATATCTCTCGCAACCGATTTTAGGCATTCACCTTACATATTTTTGCAGCTTCTAGTCAGGAGCCATGTGCCCAAGCCCAACCAGAGTCTGGAAGGGACCATGAACAGATGGCTGATTGTGCAACAGATAGTGCAAAAGATTGTCCAGGTAAAAAAATTTTCATAAAGGTAATTTTCGTGCTTAATGCACATGTGATCAAACTCGCATCACATTGTTATGTCATTGATTATCAGATCGAACAAGGTCAGTTGAGGAGGAAGAACCGGCGGAAGAATGTCCTGGTTAAAACATTTTTCATAGTAAAGGTACTTTTCTTGCTTAATGCATATGAATTCAAGATCACATTATGTATTAATCAATTGTTTTGTTTATTATCAGACTCGCCAAGTTCAGTGGTGCACAGGGACGAGGATGTTTCCTTGAGGGTCCAGAATTCAAGCAGCTGTCAGCAGAGTTTAGAAGCCAGCCCCATTGTCCTTTGTAATCCACTCACTCATCTTATTTTTGCACTCGATGAAAACTTGGGTTACTAGAGTTGGGTTACTAATTTCTGTAAATAATGTTTCAGCTGTTCGACAAAAATCACAGACAGTGTTGAGCTGTGCTGGTAAGTTTTCTAGTGGAAGTCGCTTGTTCTTCACTCATTCATTGCTCCTTCTTTTTTTTAGAATTCCAGCGTCGTGTTATGACGCACTTGAGCATCCTTAGGCACAACCAGGCTGAAATGCTGGAGATGCTAGCAGCTAACCAACAGAAGCGTTGCGATTCAGAAATGGAAATGTTGCGACAGCCCGAGCCATCCCTGCAAAGCCCCTTAAGGAATGTTCAGGAGGTTTTAGAATTCAATGAGTCTCTCACTGAAGCTACAACAGAAGCTCTGGTACAGTTCAACAAAAAGTTTCATTCAGATGCTAGTGATGCAGATTTCCACTCTAAAAGGCTTGAATTTTGTTGAGTATGTTTCTATTTCGCTAGCTTTCAAAGATGCATAGCTGTAATATTTCACTGACACTCCTGCACGCGAAAAGTTACATGGGTCTTGTACACTTCTTCCAGGTCCGTGACCTTATGTCCTACGGCTCAAGGACATTAAATTTGACTGTGAAGGGCATGATGGCCTATTTAATGAGCAATCAAGCTGCGTGTGAGTTCAGCATGGATGGCCGTAAAGGCAAGCTGAAATTCAGAGAACTTAAGCTCACCAAAATTGTGCTCTGTAAGTATGCATATTCACATCTGTTCTGTGTGTTTTAATGCTTTTTTTTCTTCAGCGGCTGTTCAGAGGACACGCCACCACAAGGAGTGCACACTCGACGACATTGTCCACCAGAGAAAGGAGTGGCTGCGCAGGGCCAAAGAAAGATGTGCGGCCAGTGAGAAGAGCTCAAAGGCTGAAATGCAGGACCAATGAGTTTTTTTTTCTGAAACCAGAATGGGCACATCGTGCTGAAATGTACAATTGCAAATAAAATCTGATTCAGTCCAATGTTTTTTCATGTATACCTTATTGCAGGAATGTTTAGCACTGCTGGTTTTATGTTCATACTCTCGAAGCTTGAAATTAGCATTGTTATGCTTAATTAATATGCATTGTTTATAAAAGGTAATTGGTGGATTTCGTACAAAAATTTATATGAAACGTTGCTATATTCAATACAATAATACATTTGGGCCACTGTGCAAAAATACTTAAGGTGAGCGAACTCTGGGCCTAACCGTTGCCCGATAATGTTTTGCTTAGCAATGAGCTCGAGCGATAATGATAAGAACATTGTTCACCCCGGCTCCCCCCCCCCCCCCTCTGCGTAAGAAAGCCCGGACCCAAGACGTAGGGTAGTGACGCTCATTTATCGTCGCCACAACACCCTCGCCACGCTGTCAATCTCCTCCTTTATCACCTCTCGCGGTGTCGCGTAGTTGATATCGCGCAATAACCCGGTTTTCTCACATTTGGAAACCGTCGCCCGCATGCCGGATGTGCTTTGCGGGATTTGCCCGCCACGTACCTCAGTCCGGCGAGCCATGCATGCCGCAAACGAGAACATAATCGGTTCCTCCCACTTGAGGTTTAGTCCATCCTCACATGCAAGCGCTCGCTCCGTGGCACTTATTTACTTAAAGTATTCTTACACGTGATTTGTAATAAACTTTCAGCAGTGAAACGTTAGTCTATTCAGTGATAGATTGAGTGTATGGTTTCATTTTATATCTTTTGCTATAGTAGTCAACGGGATAAAAAAATTAAATTGATTTCATGGAACAATTATTTTTAAAACTGTCGGTCACTTTCGTATGACAAAAACTAATAAGATAAGTGCACGATATACTACAAGCAATGCACAGTATACAACATAAATTATACGAGCACATATATTTTTAACCCTGACAAAAAGTGCACATGCCTTAAAAAAACCCTGAACTAGATGCTCTATTTTTTTACGCTTCAAAATAGGATTGATATGTGGGGTTTAACGTCCCAAAACCACCATATGATTATAAGAGACGCCTACGTAGTGGTGGGTTCCGCAAATTTCTACCACCTGGGGTTCTTTAACGTGACCCAAATCTGAGCACACGGGCCTACATTTCTGCCTCCATCGGAAATGCAGTCGCCGCCGCCGGGATTTGATCCCGTGACCTTCACGTTTCAAATAACCGTCGCATTCAGTTCAGAATGCCGTGAAAATTAAAAAAAACAATACCTCATCCTTGAAGAGCTTTCTGGTTTCCCAGCGTGTGTGTTGGCCTGGGCATCGGCATGCGAGTCAGCTCATGCCATCCACGGAAACTGTCTGCTCGCAGATACACACATTCGCCACTACTCCGGCCGCTATACAAGGAGAGATGAGCTCTAGATCTGAAAGCAGATCACTTGTGGATCACCATACGCAATTAAAGACCCACTATTATCACAAGATTTAGAAAATTTCTGATGACTGCGAGCATAGGATATGCTAATGCACTGCAGTACCCCAAAACTAATTTCAATTCCCATGTGTTCTTTGGGGCCCTTCGATGGATAGCCAGTGGACATTCGCAACTGGCTGTCCCACTGAAATCCTGTTCGGATATCCACCAGAAAGCCACCTAGTACATCCCGTCAATAGGCCTTCCTTGTACGTCCAGCGAATGTCCGTGCTGTGTCCGCTCTGGATATTCGAATTTTTCGACCTTTGGATTCATAGCGGACAGCCGACGGATATCCGTGGTTACTTGGGTTTGCCTCTTTGCGTGCTCTCCAAAGCTTTTCTGACTTTTTCTATTATTACTGGTGGGGTGCCATCTGGGTTACTCCTTGTTCTTATAGTATTAAGGTCGTGGTTGTCTCAGCTACTGTACAGATCTCTGTAAAACTCCTCCGCTATTTTAACTATCCTATCCATATTGGTAGTTATTTTGCCTTCTTTGTCTTTTAGTGCATACATCCGACTTTTGCCTATCCAATGTTTCCTCTTCACTGCTTTGACGCTTCCTCCGTTTTTCAGAGCGTGTTCAATTCTCTCCTTTTTATACTTTCTTACATCGCATACCTTACGTCTATTAATCAACTTCGAAAGCTCTGCCAGTTCTATTTCGTCTGTTGTACTTGACACTTTCATGATTTGACGCTTCTTAATTAGGTTCTTCGTTTCCCGGGAAAGCTCGCCAGTGTCCGGTCTAACTACCCTTCCTCCAACTTCCACTGCACACTCCGTAATGATACTCGTCAGTTTATCATTCCTTGTATCTACGCTAAGGTTGGTTTCCTCATTAAGAGCCGAGTACCTGTTCTGCAGCGACACTCTGAATTCCTGTACTTTCTCTTTCAGTGCTAGCTCATTGATTGGCTTCTTGCGTATCAGTTTCTGTCGTTCCTTTTTCAAGTCTAGGTGAATTCGAGACCGTACCATTCTATGGTCGCTGCATCGTACCTTGCCAATCACTTCCACATCCTGCACGATTCCTGGGTGTGCACTCATTATAAATTCTATTTCGTTCTTATTTTCGCCATTAGGGCTCCTCCATGTCCACTTGCGGTTTTCTCGTTTTCGGTAGAAGGTATTCAAAATCCGTAAATTATTGCGTTCTGTGAATTCTACCAGTAGCTCTCCTTAGGCGTTTCTAGTACCGATGCCATCATCTCCTACTGCCTGATCTCCAGCCTGCTTCTTCCCTACCTTTGCATTAAAGTCGCCCATTACTATAGTATACTGTGTTTTTACCTTACTCACAGCCGATTCCACGTCTTCATAGAAGCTTTCAACTGAAGCGTCATCATGGCTAGATGTAGGCGCGTAAGCCTGTACTACCTTCATCTTGTATCTTTTATTCAGTTTAATTACGATACCTACCACCCTTTCATTAATGCTATAGTATTCCTCTATGTTGCCAGCTATGTTTCTGTGAATTAGGAACCCCACTCCCAGTTCTCTTCTGTCTGCCAAGCCCCAATAGCAAAGGACGTGCCCATTCTGTAGCACCGTATAGGCCTCATCTGTCCTCCTAACCTCACTCAGCCCTATTCCTCGAATAGTACAGCTAGACTTCCCTCACTAGATAAGGTTCTAGCGTTAAACGTTGCCAAGTTCAGGTTCCAATGGCGGCCTGTCCGGATCCAGAGATTCTTAGAGCCCTTTGCTGCGTTGCAGATCTGACCGCCGCCGTGGTGAGTTGTTTCGCAGCTGCTGGGGACTGAGGGTCGTGAGTTATTTGACGTATACATGTGGGAGGTTCTCTGGCTATTTACCAAAACTTTACTGTGTCTGGCAGTGTTTAAACACTTTGACTCTTTCTTTCCCGGTCTTTGCCAGTATTGTGAGGAGGTGGCTGACACCTACCAGATGGTATGGGCATGCCAGCTCAATCCTTCCTTTTACCCCAGAACCCAAATTCAACAAGAGAGGACTGGGAGGCGGCCCTGCTCAGTTGCCAGGAACTTGCGGCTCAACGAGCCATGGTCCAGCGTGCAAGGACAGCGGCTACGACCAAAGGGGTCCCTGACTAGGGACTGCACCTAGTACTGCAGGGAGGCTGACCCACTAGATGCTGGTCTCCCTAGCAACCTCTGTTTTTTAAATAAATGTTTACTGCTACTACTACTACTACTACTACTACTACTCGCCTCACAAAGCCGGCGCAGGCAGCGTCTTTTAGTAAAAAAAATGACCGAATATCGATGCCATGACTTATGATGACTGGGGCGAAACGCCCGTCTGTCCATCCGTCTTTCCGTCTCTATGTGTGTTTGTCTGTCTGTGAGTCTGCCTGTCTATCAATCTGTCTGTCTGTCTGTCTGTATGTCTGCCTGTGCGTTCGTCCTTACATCTGTCCACCCATCCGTCCTGCGTCTATCTGTGCTCCGCCTGTCTGTCCGTGCGTTCGTGTGTCTGTCTTTTTGTCTGTGTGGCGACGAGCACGAGCCACCAAGGCCCTCCACTCCACTTCGTCCATGCCCCACCAATGATTCCCCACGTACAGTGACGAACCAGGAGACTGAGAGAGGCACTCCTTCCTCGCGCAATCAGGCACAACCAGCGCAGCAGCCAATCGGAGAGTAGTTGTACGGCGCCATGAAAAATATCCATTAACTGCAGTTTTTATGTGCTTCCATGAGACAGCGTCGTCTATTATACTGCTCGGGAGATCCTGCCTTCCTTTTTAAACTCGAAACATTTCTTGGCGAACTTCGGCAACTTTGAGCCTATTTATCTGTCTTGCCGCTTACGTTTGGGTGCTCTCGTGGTCACCCCCTTACCTTGATGTGAAAGAAAATTAGAATTGGAGGGTAAGATGGTTTGACGAATATTACGCGCTGGTCAAGACATGAATAATGTCACAATGCCTTCGCGTACGTCGTCAAACACTTCCCACCTGACAGTGGCACATACCCGCGGGCGGGTATGTGCCGCTGGTATGCGGGTATGTGCCACAGGTGATTGACACTTAGTATCTACCCAAGAACAACGAGAACACAAATGGACAATCTTAACGCGCGAGCGTTAAGAAATACTCCACATCGGCAGCGTCAACCCATCGAATGCAAAGAATAAATGTCAGGGTCCCAGCTCCAATTGAACGGACTCGCTCTCTGGATTTAGTGTCGACCGGTTGTGCCCCCGCGATCTCTGACGACAGCGCAGCTCTGGCCAAATGGCTTGCCCTAAGCCATCTCCTGCCACCGACAAGAGCTTTGGCTGAGTGGTACCCCATCTTTGGACTCTTGCGACCATGTGCATATTTTCTATCTCCTCCTTACCTCCATCGTTTTGTGTCGTTGGCTGTCCCTGCGCCTCGCTCTATCTTCCCTTCTCTATACATTTACCTTTTAGTCCTATCATTTTAATTCCTCCTTATCTCCATCCCTCGTGAGCTACTGTTGAGGTGTCACACTATGATGCAGACAGTTACGGGGCTCACTTTTCTTTTCCCTTTAGGAATCACATAAGAACCCAAGTATTCTGCGTGGGTTCGGAGCCCTCCACCACGGCGTCTCTCGTAATCATATGGTGGTTTTCAGACGTTAAATCTCACATATGAATCAAACAATCAATCAATCAATCAATCAATCTGCGTGGTAATGAACCACTTTACCACAGAGCAACGCCAGGTCTCGGAACTACTTTTCGAATGGACGCTTATCTTTGTGAAACGTCAATCATGCTTGCTGTAATGCCTACACAATTTTATAAACATTACATACGTACTTCTGTCATACAGCCGCCACGTCGGGTTAACGTCAATTGTAGTTAGTTGCCATGCGCTGGAGTTGATTTATGTAGCAGTGTCAAGGACCAGTATCCTCGCGAGCATCAGCGCTTCATATCACCTTGTGGTATCGCTAATACGCATGTTCCAGTTCGCACCGTTGCGCAAGTGCAAACAACTGGTTATATTGATATCTGCAACTCTTCAATACATCTCTGTGCGTCCAACGTTTGTACATATATTGAGTGTCAATTCATGACATGTAGCTGAATAAAAAAAAAACTTGCAACATGGTCCCCTTCCCTCCCACCTTCTACCTTCCCACCTCATCACGTCCCTAAGCATGCTTCGCATAACGTCGATACCATAGTACAAGGGATCTGCCGAATTTTTCTCCCGTCTCTTCTTCTCTAAGTTACCCTGACGCAGGAGAAGGTTAGACTGAGAGAAGCTTCGCCCCCCAAAACGACTGCTCGTTCCGCACAACCACCACGTATATGTAGGCACTGGATCGTGCGTTCAGAATTCAGTCAAGTGCGTCTTTAATTGGCTTTCACTTGACGTTGAAGGCGACACTTCTCCTTCATTCAATAGGTAAGAACTATAGAGACAAAATAGCAAATAATCATTCCTGAACAACCCCAATTACGCAACAATCACGCGAGTAAATGCATAGTAGAGTGGTGGGGATATTTACGAACGAGCATAGCATTTGCCCCATTGTGCTGACTCGGCAGGGCCGCAACAATGCTGGTGGCTTTACAATCAACACGTTTTGCTATTGGCCACAAAAACGATAACCGCTGTGACTGCTTATCGCTTTCATGAACCGTTGCGAGGGAAGCGTGTCGTTCGTACGCGAAACATTAGGTAGCACTAGAATCATCGTGCGCACAGACGCGCTAGCGGATGTGTCACGTGTTATTTTTTTGTATTTCCCGAGCATTTGCAATTAGCAGAAAAACACTAATACCTAACAGATATAAATTTCAAAACTATCTAATCGGGCATTTTGCAAACCGATCTATAACTTTCTCAATGAAATTCTTATCTATCTTCGTTTTTTGAAAAGTTAGTTATTTAAATAGATCTAATTAAACAATATTTGAGAACACAAAAATAGTCTGAATAACTGCAGGCAACGGTGAGTAGCAGGCACTTGGTCGCGTCGTGATTACGTGTTCCGGCATATTTTTAAACTTTGGCTAAAGTTACGCGGGACACCCTGTATAAAAATTACAGCATATCTATGGAGTGAATAATGATGATTGGGGCGAAGCGTCCGTCCGTCTGTGCATCCGTCCGTGAATCCGCCCATGCGCACGCTTGTGCAGCCACCCGTCCGTCCGTCTGTGCATTCATCCGTCCGTTCGTGCGTCCATCCGTGCGTCCGCTCCTGTGTACGCTCGTGCGGACGTTCGTCCGTCTGTCCATAAGGGCTGGTGAACAGTTGTACGAATAAAGGGCGTGAATAGACTTCATACGAAAAAACGTTGACTCTAGTTGATATAATGTCTCCGCAGTGAGCTTGCCAGTCACCGGTCGTGCCTTGCCCGTTCGGCCACCAGGCATCACTGCCCGGGTCTGGCGCGCCAGGCCGCCACCGTCGGCAACAGGCTGTTCGACCGGCTCGACATCACCTTCTGCTCGGGTTGCGGACGCTGCATGCTGCGGCTCATCGCAGTTCTTGCCACCGCGTCCATCACGATGGCTCGATGATTCGTATAGATTGACGATAGGCCTCCTAGTCATTGATTGCTGCTGCTTGTGAAATAGAAAAGAAATTTCGCGACGAGCAGAGGTGACGATTTTGTTACATTTACCTGATGTCGAAAGCATCGTGTTTGGAAAAAAATTACACTGACATGAAATTGATTTTTGAAACTGTACGTTATGCCTCAACTATATTGCAAACGAAAGCACAGAAATTCTGGTATATTATCAAGCATTGCATGATGCCACTGATCAGACAAAAGGATGATACAGAGGTGTTACATGCTCTGTATTGTACAAATAATCTTTAAGCATTATACTGCTTCTAATCTACTATGTATGTAACTTTTACAAGTTACCCAAAATATATTGTTTGCCGATGTATATTATTTGCTCCTGACTTTGTACACAACTATTAAACTGTGCATTTGCTGTCTAGAACTACTGTATTTTGATCTTCTTTTCATTTTAAGTGGACCCACCCCTATAAATACCCCTTTTGAAGAAGACGGCAGTATAGTAACAAAATAAATAAATAGTACTACATTAGGGTTAAAGAAGTGATAGAAATTATCCCAAATTGATAACACCGTAAACAGGATACATTTAAGGTTTTATCAAATAGAATAACTTTAATAGGCACAGTAATTTAAAATATAGCCAACGACCTGCTCGGTGTGATTTATTACGAAAATAAAGCTTTTTATAATTTCCATCATTGCCTTGTCAAGATATTCTCTGTATTTTATTGTGCTTGAAATAGAACTTCATTCACTATGCCAGCTTCAATGCATTATCTGTAAACTTGTGCGAATATTTGAATGCTTCCAATATTGTAATGAATGTTATGGTATTCTAACTTACTTCGATTCGGATGCAGATTGTGGAAAATTTCAGAGCATTCGGAATGAATGAATAGCTGCATATTATTCCGCATGTAACCCTCTGCAAACGTGGTTTCACTGCAGTAGAGGGGTGCGAAGCGGTGAAAGTATCTATCAAAGTGTGCAAAAAAATTTCCATGCGGCTCTTGTATTTATTTTATTTATTTTTTATTTATGAATACTGCAACCCTAACATAGGGTTTTGGCAGGGTGGATATACATTTGATAAATTTACAAATCAGCAAACAAATAAATATAAAACAGGTAAGGCATTTACACACTTTCAGAACGAAAAACAAAAGAACAGTGGTTTGTAATAAACCGGCATAAGAACATATAGAGAAATGAGCGCTACATTCAAGATGATCACAAGTGGAGAATGGTTACAGTGATTGAAATAAACAACAGGAGCACATGTCATAGAATTTAGACACTCACTGCTAGAGCTGCGCAGCAAAAAAAGGTTCAAGGATGACTGGGAAACAACTTTGTTACTAAGATTATTCCATTCGGTAATCGTCCTAGGGAAGAACGAATACTTGAATATGTTATTACGGGTGGAAAATGGGGTTATTGTAAAGGCTTGCCTCTGCCTTGTGGTATATCCTGTGGAGAAATGAAGTATATGTGATAAGTCTAACTTAAAATAACCTTTAACTAACTGAAAGAAAAATTTCCATCTCAATACTTTATTTCTTTGTGTAGGTGTTGGGAGGTTAGCTTTTGCTAATAAACATGTTATTGAAGTACGACCAAAACTGTTATAAATAAACCTAACAGCTCTCTTTTGAGTTTTTTCCATTTCGCTGATATTTTTTCTGGTGTAAGGGTACCAAATTATGGATGCATAATCTAAAGTAAGTTGAACAATTGCATAAATGCAACAAGGCGAACGGTGGGAGTAGAGTGCTTAAGAGCTCGTCTAAGATAAAATAATTTGTAATTGCACGAGCTTATTACAGTGTTAATATGTCTCGTCCAGTTAAGGTCATTCGAAATCCAAAGACCAAGGTACTTGTAGTGTTGTACCTCCTGCAAAAAAACATTATTGGCTGAATATGCAAAATGAAGAGTGTTACGTTTGTGAGAAATTTTCATAAAGACGGTCTTTTCAAAATTAACTAACATCTGCCATTTATCGCACCAACGAATGACCTCTTGAAATGCATCGTTCAAATGAATTTCGAAATAAACACAGTCCTATATAATTGTTGCCAAAGAAGCAGTAGATAATTGGTATGAGATAAAAGCAATCCTGCTCATTTTCATATTTCACCACATCAGCCGGCATGTGTAGCTGAGAACATGAATTGTAAAGGTATTTTCGTCAGATTGAAGAGGTGCCGAGCCCTGAAAATACTTAGTGATAAAAAGAAATTCGCACTGCACCGAAGCGCCATTTTAAGGTTCAATGAACATATTACGCTCGCATCGATTCACCGTTTTAGTTATGTTCAATTGCTTGTTATACTGGCATTTATGCCTAATTTTGAAAGAACATACTCGCAGGGAGCAGTAGCTTGTGAGCACGCAATCAGTCCACCCGACTGACGTCACAACACCGGCCTAATTTTAAAAGAACATATTTTACAGGTTATCCCTTGCACTATACCGAAAGTCGAATTCTGCTACTATTTGAAGTTATGTTTCCAATTTTTTTAAACAAAGAAAATAGTTATTTAAGTGCCTTTTTACTTTCTGGAGCATACTTTTCAGCAGAAAAAGTGCTGCTTTGGAGCAGCCGTACGTGTTTTCGAAGAAAAAAAAATGCTGGTATTGAAGCTAATGGTGCTTTAGGATCAGATACGAAATTTTTCATACAATATTTAGAGTTCAGATAACTATTGAACGATCTCGTAAATATTATATTTTTATGAAATATACTTAACAGACAACAATCAATGTAAATTTCATGTAGACAACAATGGCAGATTGTCAAAAAAGTGCTGTGAAAGGAACTACAAATTAGAATACTAGTATTTGTGGCAGAAAACGAATCATGCTAGAGAAGCTGAGCAGCGCATTTTGGAAATAAATACAGTCGTATATAACTGTTGCCAAAGAAGCAGTAGATAATTGGTATGAGATAAAAGCAATCCTGCTCATTTTCATATTTCACCACATCAGCCTGCATGTCTAGCTGAGAAAAAAAAATAGCCAAGTGAGCTATATGCCTAATATGCCAACTTTTGTCGCACATATGAGATCACAGCCGATAATACGGCACTCTCGTTGCACAGTGGTATGATAGTACACAGATTATTTTTAGCTTTTTAGGACTTTAGTACTTTTGAGTGAGTGCAGACAGTAAAAGTTTGACATTCTCATTCACTCAGTGTCATGTCGTAGCAGATTGGAGCTATTACTAACAAATATCTGTTCGGAGCAGCATGGAGCAACAATTTTCCTTTGAAGCAGTTTGGAGCAGTCGGAGCATCACTTCCTTCACCGAGAATCGCACTTGCGCAGACCTTGTATTAATTTTGAAAATGAATTGTGCAGGTTAGTTGGGTCATGACAAATCTGTTCCTTCTCCTTCATAATATGTGACGCACACTTTTCGAACTAGATTTAGAATCATACGACCGAAATCACTATTTGCTTCGAACCCAAAATTCACTATTCGCACAAGCCTAATCCCCTGTGCTCAACTTCAGTGTCGGCTACTTGTGATTCTACACTGAAACTTCGATATAACGAGCCCAGATATAACCAAATATTCGTTAAAATGAAGTAAATGAAAAATAGTCTAGTCATATATAAGTGCTAGAAATAAACCTCTATAACAAGCTTTTGGATGTCACAAACTTATTTTAGTGTAAGATGCAACTGTGTTTTAATGAGGTTAGAGATAATGTGGAATGAGAAGTGCAGCTTTAGGCTACCTTGCAAACGTTCATCTGACATCAAGGGTAATGTGCGTCTCAACGGTGGGCATTCAGAGCCCTTCCACCACGGTGATGAAAACTAACGAAGGAGTGTTTATGGTTGGTCGGGTATAGTAAAGACTGCTACAGTTAACTCAATCATTTTCGTTGTTGGCCATATTGAGCAAATAAAGACATACACTCTGGCTGTTTCTGTTTTGCATGATGCATATTGTCTCGTCTACGGCAACTTCAAAATGAAATACTGTAGCACACGGGAAAATCAGTTGTTTCAAAAGTACCACAACAGCGTGACACTCAGTCTTTGAGGATCACTCACAGCTTGCTACTGTCAATCGTGGCTCAAAGACTTCAGTCCTGATTTGACCTCACCTAAAGTGACAAAAGTGGTGTTCAGAATACGTATTCGATTTTGCCCATTGTGCACTACACAATTCGGCTGAGGAACTTTACGAGTTCATATAGCCATGTACATATTGTTACGGGGAAGATTTATTCAGCGACATCGGGTCTTGCTAACGGATTAAAGAGCGCACAGTCATGCAGGCCAACGGGCGAAGCTTGAGAGTCCAACCCGCAACAACCACGTTGTCGTCTTCCTCCTTTTGGGTGCCATTTCAGCTGTGCTGTAGCGACAGTTCCACACACGTATCATCACCCCGGCCGATAAGGCACCGCCTCGGTGCCTGTTAAATGAGCGAGTCCGCGTTGTAGGGCTTGAGACGAGAAACGTGGATCACTTCCGTTCTGGGTGCACCAGCCGATGAGTTTGTGGTAGCGGCAATCTCGTAGGTCACAGGTGTAACCTGACGAAGGACTCGGTAGGGCCCAGCGTATCGCGATAGTAGTTTCTCACAGAGGCCAACACGTCGAGATGGGAGCCACAGGAGAACAAGAGATCCGCATAAAAGTGGCATCCCTATTACGACGGTCGTAAAGAGACTTTTGTGCTGTCTGCGACGACGATAACCGGGCGTGGTCTACAATGCGTGCCGTGAGGGCACGGGTGATCGCATCCTGAGCGTACGAAGTGGAGGATGGGTGGTCTGATGAAAGCAGTGTGTCAAAGGGCAGTAAGGGATGACGTCCGAAGACTAGATAAAATGGGGAGTAGCCCGCTGTTTCACGACGCGACGAGTTCTAGGCGAAGATGACGATCGGCAGAGCTATGTCCCAATCAGTGTGGTTGGTAGATACGTACATGGAAAGCATGTCTGTCAATGTGCGGTGTGGG